GAGTCTTATGCGATCATACTGTCGGCACTGTATGTTTCACGTGTGTGTTTTTCTGGTGTGCACTACAGTTGGGGCGCATGCCGGTGGTCGTCTGGCGAGCAGTGAGAGTGTTGGTTGCTGTAGTTTTTCTACTGTTACTGGCGACACGGCGGTGAGTCTGTCAGTTCCCAGCCTGTTTCGGCGGCTGTGGCTTCACCTGCGTCATGGGGCGCTGCTGCGGTTTGCTGCGGAGGGAGTGTCGACTCCATACGCGTTCTTCAGTTTTAGTGTTTCGACTCCTCGAATGCTCGAGCGGTGCTTTCCGTGGATTGGCGTTCTCCATGACGCCGCGTCCCGCTATTTCGGCCCGGGTGTTTACTTGGACAGTCGTTGGAGGTCCCCTGAAGTGGCAGACCGCGTTTGGCGTGCGATGACCCCAAAAGGTTTTGCCGCAATGTGGTGTTGTCGTTGTGTGACGGGTGTGCTTCAAACAAATTGCTTTAGAACAAGAAACGGGCCCGCGGAGTATTTATTTCAGGTATCTGGTAAGGAGCAGGCATCCTGTGAGGTCCACTATTCGGGGGAAGTAAATGCTGCGGATACCGAAGGGGAACGGGAGCATGAACCCTCCTGCATGATGTCTTGGCTGCGTCCTCTGACTCTCTTTGTGATGCGCACGGGCAAAACATCCATGGTGGTGTTTGCCGTGACATCATGTGCCTCGAGGACAAATTTGTCGTGGCTGCCATTTCCATGTGCCGGTGGCCCACAGTATGTGGCGTTGTGTTACACCGAGATGACGCTGATGTTATTGAGCTTATCGTTTTTTATCTTTTCTCCCCCGTTGAGCCTTGGATCACTCACCGCAGCAACGCCATGAACGTGATGCAGCCATGCTTTGAGCGGTTTGCCTTTGTAAAACCGCCCTCTTTGTGTGCACCTGTCCCCTATATATATATATGTGCGTGTATCTGCATACAAGGAGAGAGGCAAGAGGAGTGGGAGGAGGTAAAGGAAGGGACGGGGATTTCTGACGTGCATTGGCGTGCTGAATCTAACTTCTTGAGAATCCGAGGGGAGATGGGGACCGGGCCCAGGCGTGCGGTGCGGAGTTGGATGCATTTGTATGTGGCCGGGGAGGAGGCTGCGGGGGCGCCTAAATGAGGAAGAAGAAAAAAAAAAGGAGGAAATTGGAGGTGTGGTGGCGGCGAAGGGTTTGCGGTGAATCTGGTGTTTGTGTTCCTGTGCGTGTTCCACATCATGCCCCTCTTTGACTCATCTCTCAGCCAGGATGCAGCCAAAGCACGGGAGTTGTGCACATGGACCACACGTTTCCCGAGAAATATTTCAGGGAAGCACTTTTTTCTCGACCATGAGCTTGGAGATCTTGAGGCAACCGCACGGTTTGAAGACAGGCAGAAGCTTCTATTCTACGCTCTGCGGCGGCAGGCCGAGCATGGTCCATGCACGGGCGCGGCACCATCCATATGGTGGACGCGTGAGCGCACGAATTACAATGCATGGAAGCAACTGGGCGACATGTCCAGATTTGAGGCGATGGTAAATTTCTGAGTTTGCTCGGCAAGTGTTTGGGGGTGAAGTCAACTGGATGGGGGAAGCGCAGGGCTCTGGAGAACAGCATCTCCCATGCGGCGGACGGCGAATCCTTTACGGCACCGGACGGAATTGGCAGCACACATTCCCCAGGAGAGGAGCACACGTGGGACGATGATGAGCGTGCCCACCGTGGAGACTGCAAGATATTTGGCATCGCAGGTCATGCGGTTGCGACGTGGGGCACATCAACCGCGATTGTCGACAGCTGAAAAAAAACGAGGGAAGGTGTTGCTGTGCGTCTGGCGCCACCACCCATCAAAGCGCCAACGGGCAACGCGGGCTCTCCCCAGAAGGCAGTGCCGGTGCCGCCAGGGAGACCCGTTGCAAGGAGGAGTGGTGGCGTTGGGAGGCCCCCGACTGCCTTTTCCGACCCCCCGGAGGCGGTGAATGGGGTGGGCGGAATGGCTTGGACTCATTGAGCAATCAAGAAGGGGAGGGGAGGAAAATGAAACGCTCCTTTTTGGAATGCATGGCCGCGATTGGGACCTCGCTGTTTGCGTTTTGTTGTTGTTTTTGTTGTTTCAATTAATTGACGCTGCTCTGCTCCTTGTGCCCCGTTTGGGCAAATGTGCCTTTGGCCCGGATTGAGCGTGCCTTGAATGGCGCCCATGGGCTTTTTGGATGCACTCTTTTATGTTGTTCCCTCTCTTGTGTACCCTCCCATGATGATTTCCCTTCAGCCTCATTTGCATTTCTTTTCTTTGTCACGTCCAGTTGTGTTCATAACTTGGTCCGATGGCAAGTGCACTGTAACGTCGCGCCAACGTCCACAAGGAACCACAAAAATATGAAGCACGTGGCCGGTGTCTTTGCGGATGGTGTGGCTGCAGGACCTTCTGACCCGACGAGTGTGCGGCGCGCTGACTGTGGGGAAGCGACGGTTCCGTTTCCACGTTTTGCCGAAACAATTTTGCTTCATGGACTTTCTTTGTTTGGGTGGTGCAAAACCCGCACGATGCCGATTGGAGGCAACGGACTGCGCCCCACTGGCGGAGGTGAGGCCCGCCATCTCTCGGGGGGACGGATTTCCTGAAGAAGAAAAAGAAGAAGAAGAAAATTCGATGGCCGACGAAAAGAAAAAGTCTGCGCGTCATGCAGGACAATGGGCCACGCGAGGGACTGAACGCACCAAGTGAGGGCGGCTCTTTCCCCCCGTTGACCCAAACAACGGCATGAACTTTTCTCCTTTGTCCATTAATACAATTATTAAATAAGTGACAAGCCAAATGCATTATAAAATTTCGACGCAGAAAGCAAAGAGACAGTGATATCAAGGCGACTCGCCCAATCACGGCCTCCTCGGGATCGCCCAACCACCCCCAACACCATGCAGCTTATGAAACGTGCAACATTGTTGTTGTGTACCGTGCTATTACATTTTTTTGTTTACGTGGGGTGTGCAACTGAATGCAGCTCTGTTGGCTAAAAGGAATATGTGACCGTCTCCCGCCATCAATCTTGGTGCGATCGGTCTGGTACTGTGCGTGAATCCCCAACTCGTGCGTATGGTTGCGGGTCTCCAGCGCGCTTTTATTTCAGGGCTTTTGCTGCTGTTTCACTGTTGGGTGAACGGGTCTCTCCGTCCACTGTTTACACGGCGTCTCGGGCGAGGCGAGAATGAGCGGCGAAAATTGCTGCGGAGCTCATGCGGGCGCCAGTTCTCCGTCAATGGTCTATTCCTCTCGTACTTTTGCCCACTGGCCTTCGCGCTGACCCGCGGAATGGGCGGAGTTGCTTGTCTCGGCTCCGCCCATTCTGCGCGCAAAGAAAGAATGGACGTGTTTCTCTACTAAGAAGACGATACCGCAAAATGAGGACAGAAAGGCGCCTGAATTGACCGGTTTTTTTTTTTGCTTTTTTGTGTTTTATTCATTTATTTATTTATTTTCTCTAGAAGCTTGTGAAAAGAATGATCGCGGGAGAGCTGGCTAGCTTACTTAATGTATGTGTACATCCTGATAAATGAATGCATTCTTTATGATATTTTCTACCGTATGAATCTTTTGGGAAGAACGCGACTTTGTAGGAGCAGGGGGCCGATAGAGGCCGGATAATATTTTAAATTTTATTTTGCCATCCCACCCACCCCCTTTGATTCCCACCACGCGGCGGGGTCTTGTGGTTGGAGGACCCCAAAGTCTGCCACTTCGTAAGTAATAAATACTTCAAATCCTAACTGAGGACAAAGGACCATGCTGGTGGTCCTCAGAATTCTGTATATTGAATGAAAATAAAACATTGAAGCAATTAACTAACGAACCTTTTTTCCTAACCTGTTTGGTTCCATAGATTTTCAGGATCCGGCCAGCGGCCCAGAAGATCATTCTGAAAGTTTTATTCATCTATTTATTTGTTTTTTCTGTGTTTGTTGTGTCCACCCTTTGCTTTTGCTCAAGTTGTTCCCTGTGCGGGGTCGCGCTGCGCCTGTTTTCTTTTGCCCATGCACCGTTACGGATGGGGGAGCGGTGCGGAAGGTGCTGGCCAGTGTGGGCCCGTGTGTTGGACTCACGAGGATCCCTTTTTTATTTTGCGTTGGGGACGCTGGAATGTTGCGTTCCTTGTTGCGTGCACAGTAATTACTCCTCGTATGCATATGTGAATCTTTGCGGGCCGGGGTCCTTCCCCCCTTACAAGGCCGCAGGGATTGTTTCTTGCATGGCATTTTGCCCGATCCTCTCAAGAATTGTGATCATTCGACTGGGCGTTCCTGCGCCCCTGGAGCTCTCTTTTCACACCGTCGTTGTGCCTCTCCCTTCATTTTGTCTCTACCACGCGAAAATAGTGGACTCACACGCTCTACCGCACGACGGGTGATATTATGGAAGCCGAAGCAATGGGCATTCGAACGCGCTCTGCGACAAGGAACGCGGTCCGGTGGATGGTGCTGTTCCTCCTGCTGCAGTACCTGGGCAGCCATCCCTCCTTTACTGCTGCAGGGGAGGAGGAGAAGCACGTGACCATTGGAATCACGAAGTATTTCCACTACGCCAATTCCATATTTAAGACCAATTTTGCTACCCGCGTTGATTACACTAACTCTCAGGTCTCTTGTTTTAATGGTGGAGGCCTTCTTGCTTCGGATCAAACACCTGCTGCACATATCTCTATTGCGGCTCAGTTGAGAGAGCTTGCATCCAAGGAAGATGAAACATTCCGTACGTACCTTGGCGGGACTGCCGAGTACACAGCGAATTCGACGCCGCCCGAACAAAGGTGTCTACGTGGTGAGCGTCGGGCATCGTTAAAATGTATTTACAAGTGGAATGAGGGTGCGTTTCTCGACTCCTCATCCGATGGTCATGGTGTTTCGTTTTTCAGGGGTACAATGTATACGCTTATTGGCGCGGGGCCAATGAACGGGTACGATGCTTATTGGGGCAATAAGTTGCCTGGGCACGGCCAGTTGTTCTTAATGCTTCGTATGGATACGAGCCAAAGCGATAAGAATGCGACGTGGTATGACGGGCAAGGTGTGCCCAGGTACGATGGAGAAACGCCCGAAGACACATTTGGCGTTGTCTGTGAGACTCAAGAAGGGTACGTCGTCAGCACTACGACGCTTCCACCGACTGTGAAAATTTCGTGGGTGCATAAGCGTTGGTACGTTATCTTGATTGCAATATTGGTGCCGGTTATTGTTGCCGTCACGCTAATCACTGTCTGCTTCTGCCGTTGCCGCGGTGCTGACGATGAATCTAAGTGGGTGGTGCACATGGTCTTGCGGGAGGTGAGCAGTGAGCCCCTTCATCCAATTGACGGGGATGATGGAATCTACAACGATAACAGCCCGATGATGCGCTATTCAACGTTGGGTGATGGGGTGCCCATGAATACTCCCTTTGCATACGAAAACGTTGAGGTCCCTAGGGTGATAAAGAATCAAGAAAACACTGTGTACGATGACGGGGATGTGTTTTAGGTCTTTTTGTTTTTTTCATTGTTTACGCCTCTTTGCCGCATTGTGTGTATGTACACGTGTCTCTTGCAGTTCCTGCATGTGCGCCCACTATTTTTAGTTTTAAAAAAGACGAGGTGTGGGGTAATGCAGTGGCTGCTGGGAGCAGGAAAGCATCGTGCGGAAAGAGCGGATCAAAAGGCATGATTTATTTCCACCACTCTTTATTTTTGTTTTTGTTATTTTTATTTTTCCCTCCTCTCAGTGTAGGACTGCGTGCGTGTAGGCGGGGCGCCCTTTTTATCACCAGCATCTTATCTTTTTCCCTATTTACGCTGGCGGCAAGCCTGCTGTGGGA